ATTCAATCCATAATACTTCGCAATGTCTTCTTTACTTTTCATTTCTCATAAAATCCTCCTAGGAATGCTGTTATACAACGATTTCAAGTACATTACAGTCAAATTGTCCCATATGTCACGGATTTCACGTTCTATATCTTTGGTATTGTTTATGTTTTGAGCACGTTTCTAAAGTTCCCTTTTTTTATCGCCACCAACAGTTCTCAATAATATTGATGAGCTGGCCTATTCATGGTTTTAAAACCCGTTCTCTACGATACCCCTGAACAGATAGAGCCCAATGGACGTGGGCATTTTCATAGTGAAAAACGTAGTCTTCATTGGGAAAATGACAAACAACCACTGGCCACATCTTATTGACAATAATGACAATGGACAGAGATTTACGGCGATGTTTTTACACAACGGGAACATTTTCTCATGTCCCGGTCATGCAAAGATTGTTTTGGTCTGCTTGATCTCTGAATGTTTTCAATATCACCCCGATGTTCATACTTTAAAAAAAAACAGAAGACTATAATCTGTTTGATGCCTGTCAATTCGATAATACTACATCATTTAATGCAGTGAGGTGACTTTTCTTATCACATTTCAGTTGTTGTCTATTGTCACCAATTTTTTGTTGACAAAAACTACAGTTTGAATTCAGACGACTTTGACGTCATTACGCACTTGACACATGACAAGCACATGTTTTTCTTAAGGTCCATTGTCATCCCGGTTTGCCATGGAGTCGACGGAAAAATATGTTAACCTTTCCGTGACGTGACCGACATTGTTATTTTTAAGAATACTAATGGCGGAGTACTGTAGATCGGTATACAACAGAAACCGATACCTTACTTGTTCGAAAGCAAAAACCTGTCTCGTTCATTATTACTGGACTAAAAGATTTTCATATGGGTATACTTATAATAAATTTTAGGCAAACATTTAGTACGTTAGCCATACGTTTTGTCTAGATAAGATTCATCAATGGCGCTTAATCTGCTACACCATATAGTTGCAATGACATAATTGATGGTATAAATACTCTAACTATCCCTTCCTGGTAGATGAACGTGATGAACATTTTCAACTCTACTCCTTGACATAGACGCAGTCATGGTCATCGTCATTACACATTACCTACTGTTCATGATGTCTCTATTAATTACCTACTGCCATTTATCATGTTTATACAAAAACTGTTAGGTATTCATCACATGCGCACGAAGCTATTTTTATTCATTACCCCTTCCAAACTTCATTCTCTGTACAATTTATGTATGGAAACCACTGTTACAAACCCCTATTCAAACCAATGCAAACTTACAGATATCATGTCGGATATTTCCAGTCACAGACTCATGAGACTGTTCAAACCAGTCGGCATTCGAAAAGATGAAAAAGAGCAAAGATCCTTTCTGAAAAATTCCTTTGCCAACAGAGGTCTGGATGCCACGAACTTAGGCAATGTCCTTCAGTAAAATCCTCCCTATTTTAAAGATCAGTATACTACTATCATTTCTGATACCTATACCAATCCAATTGTAACTAAAATTTACAATTACTAACACGTGCTGCAAGATCTCAATATTGACGAGTTTAAGTCTAAACCTCCTAATTGCCCCTGTGCTAGTTCCCAATTCATATATAATCCGATTGCCACGTTATTATTGCTAACCTAAAAAGGCCCAAATGTTGCAAAACACCTGTCATACCCTCATGGCACATATGTTGTTGTCCCCGCAGATAAAGCCGCAAACAACATCGTTTTGGTGTATAAATCACATTGCATAAACTGCTTGATAGATGAATTAGGTATTGACAACTCACTTGGAAACTCAACATATACCCCCATGACACTTTTCAACCGAGGATGCAGAACTGGATCTTTCTTCACTGTATTGGATACCTGAATTTTTTGCGACTGACATACAAGTGTGAGGTTTAGCTAGCTATAAAACCCGGTTTAATCCACCATTTTCTACATAAGAAAATGCCTGTACCAAGTCAGGAATATGACAGTTGTTTTTCATTCGTTTGATGTGTTTGAGCTTTTGTTTTTGCCATTTGATAAGATACTTTTTGATTTGAATTTTCCTTAGAGCTCGGTATTTTGTTATATTACTTTCTACATTGGTATCCCTACAAACAACGTTATATTGCTTGGTCTTCAAAGTACTCCACGAAATTTCTTTCTAAATTATTAACATCAATTTTATCAGCAAGCAATGTCGGGTTTCACAGTTATTGTGAAACTAGCTATTCCATTGGGATGGTTACTTAAAAATCCCTTAGATCTAATAGAGTACATACAATCTTAGACTCTTTCATCTTGCAATAGTATTAAAACATTAACTTTTGGCTTTTCTTCAGTTTACACAAGCATTCCCCATTCCAAACTAAAAGAAAAATTGAAAGAGTTGATCCTGCTTTGTTTCATTAAAAAGAATGGCCAACGTAGATACAAGTATCTTGTCTTAGGGAGGAATAAATCGTACTTTGTTAAAAATCATAATGATTCCAATAAGAAATTCTCTGAAACTGACATTATCAAAATGCTAGATTTCTTGATAGACATATTTGTAACGTTTGGAGGACGTGTTTTTCAACAAACAATCGACATTCCCAAGGGAACCAACTGTACTCTTCTTTTTGACGACTTGTTTTTTATTCATATGAGGCTGACTTTATACAAGGGAACCTTATGAAGAAATAAAAGAAATTAGTAGTATCCTGAAACTTCAATTTCCACTACACAGATGATTTTCTCTTATTAAATAATTCGGAATTTGGAGACTATGTTCACCGCATCAATCCCACCAAACTTTAGATGAAGGCTACAGCAGATACAGTTAAGTCTACCTAATATATTGACTTACATCAAGAAATTGTTAATGAGGGTCGATTGAAAACAAAACTTTAAGACAAAAGAGATGATTTCAGCTTCCCAGTTGTGAACTTTCCATTTCTATGTAGCAACATTCCAGCAGCGCCTACATACTGTGTATATATATCTCCCTACAGTTGATACGATATTCGAGGGCTGATATTTTCTATCATCATTTCCTTGATAGAGAGTTGCTGCTCACAAGGAAGCTACTAAACCAAGAGTTCCAAATGGTGAAGTTGAAGTCACCCCTTCGTAAATTTACGGACGACATCGTGAGTTGTTTAAACGTTATGGAATATCTGTTTCATAGATGACGACGGAAAGGATCCAATTGAACTACAATCCGCTCCTTTCCCCGAATGTGACCTACGAAATTTACTAGAATTATAACCGGGTTTGTACTTACATGAGCAACATGACGGGTGCCATGTTGTTTGTCTTTTTCTTTTTTAGCCATGGCGTTGTCAGTTTATCTTCGACCCATGAGTTTGATTATCCCTTTGGTATCTTTCACCTCTCTTTTTTTTAAAACTCTAATCAGCTGGAAATAAAAAATTTGATATACATGCTGCTGGAATGTGCACAATATATAATTTTCTAGACTTACATCGTTCAGATTGTAAAATTATAGACATGAAAATAAGCCTATTTCAAACTTTATTCCTAGAAGGAGAGCTGTATCAACTATAATAAAATAAATTAAGATGTAACTTAAATATATCGATCAACAACAGTATTCTTCAAACATTGTCCAAATATATTTGTGACGAACCAGTAAACATCTGTATCACCTGCAAACAAAAGAAATAACATTCACAATATATTTAAACTGTTTACATACTGGCTATGAACGTGACTTAAGTTTATTCACTGTCCAGTTTGAAATAAAACACATACAATTCAACCAGCTCACAAAAGTTCTATAAACCTTAGAAGTAGTTTGATTGTTTTGTTTTTTTTTTTAAATTGTTTTTTTTACATTAAGAAAGTCTTTCAAGTTACTTTCATACAATACATGATAATAGGAGTCATAGGATTGACATTTCCTAACATAATCTAATCCTAACATTAACTGGTTGCAAAGGTAATCTACTGTAGGATTAAGATTACCTTTGATATACCCTCCGGACTTAAAACTTACATCATTTTAATCAAAACATTTTATTTCTATTGAGTTTCCAATACATCTGAAAATATAGCAGATCGATATTCACACAATAAACTATTTTCTGCAATTTCTTGGGGAAAAAAAACAGATATTCACACAATAGACTACTTTCTGTCAATTCTGTGGAAAAAAAAAACATGTTTTTTTTTTAAATTAGTAATAACTAATAACCTTTTGGATATCTGTGCATGTATAAATTGATAAATAAGGCAATGAATGAAATCGACAAAATGTTCACCTCAATGCACTTTGTTGTGTGTAATCACAACAGTTTGAAATAAAAAGATAATCTGGGTCCGGTTCTCCACTAGCACGTTCGCCCTTAATCTTGTTAGTCCTCACGCAGGTTCGTCCATAGTCATGTTCGTCCTCATGCAGGTTTGCCCGGTTCTTTTATCCTGAGAATTACATTTGCCACTAGTTTACATAACTGCAAACTTTTGAAAAAACCTATTGGGGTTTAGTGCGCAACATCATATTCAAAAGTTATTATTTTTCGATGAGTTTTTTGTCTGATGGTATACTGATGTTTGCTCAATCTTTAGTTATCCTTGCTGACTTGTTCATCTTTTCGTGTTTTTTTTTTTGTTGCGAAGGCGTTGTCAGTTTTTTTTATTGACATACAAGTGTTGATGGTCCTTTTGGTAACCACCTTTCTTTCTTTCTTAGAAAATGAAGAAAAAAATTGCTTTTACAATGTATTTTATATTTGTATATCTTTACAATGGTACCACGCTTTCAATCATTGGGTAATCAACATGGCATTTTTAAATAAAGAAATATGCATTGACAAAGAAGTGTGTGGTGACACTGATACCGTGTCGATTTGTGCTAAATATAAACGACCATACTGTCATGGATAGATTCCCCCGTATCCTTTGTTTGCCTTAATATTATACTGATATTTTGGTTAGATCATGATAAGCGCATGAAGTTAATTTGCCATACCTGTTCGATTTCATTCATCGTCTTTGAACATTTCGTGTAGCAATCCTGCAGCTACCGCGATCCCTCCAACTACTGAAACCACAGTTAAAGCCTTGTCAACCTGAAACCATACTATCATATGTGAACATGGTGATTACAGGCTAGATTCATTGAAAATTCAAGTAGATTTGATAACGTCCTTACTACGAAGGTAATAAGCAAACAAGAGTTTAGATATTCATATAATACATCGTCCTTATCAAGTAAATAAGAACGCAACATGCGCAACGTGTAATACCAATGACAATAAGTATAGATATACCTTTTTTCATATACCTACACATATTTTTAAAATGAAGAAAAAAAGAGGCGTTTTCAAGTTGCCATTTAAACGATTTTGACATGAAAATCTTGTTAACCATAAACAGATTTAGATTGTCAAAAGTCAATGACTTTTTGAAAAAAAGATAGAGGCGACTGATCGGAAATGATAAGTTTTAGTTTTTTCCTCACTAAATAAATCAAAATCAAAATCTCAAACACATCAAACGAATGGAAAACAACTGTCACATTCCCGACTTGGCAAAGACATTTAGGCATGTTCTTATGTAGAAAATGTCGGATTAAACCTGGTTTTATAGCTAGCTAAACCTCTCGGCCGTATGACAGTCGCATAAATTTCCATTATATCGACAACAATGTGTGACAAAACAAACAGACACAATAGACAAAAACTTAAAAAATTAGGGTACATCCGTTAACATTGTGTTATATCTTAATCACTATAAGAAGAAACAACAATGTCAACAAAGAAAATCAAAATGGCATGTAGGCATGTGCCAGTTGTTGAAAACATTATGCTGTCCACTTTATCGTATATCCTTCTGGTTGCATTGTGTATGAAGGTGAATAACTAGACATGGACGAGAACTTACCGATACTGACGCTTACACCTATACCTAGGACGAGAAGTAACCTTTTGAGAGGAATCATCCCAACATGCTCAAAATTTACATTGAACACAGGCATTCATAAAATATTTATCTAATTTTCATTTTGAACACTATAAACAATTCTTTATCAATGATTTGTTAACCTATTGGCTCTGTTTAGACACTATGAATTGGCCGATCATCATACTATAATTTGTGGAAAAAGGGGGAGCCTACTACGTCAAAATTATCTCCCAAAACGCCGACCCACGTACTCTTGAAAACCGATAAACTTAGCACATGGGCATGGCTATATTTCAGAAGACAAATGTACTTACAGACTATAAAGCATCATTTAATGTACTTTTAGGCCTTTTGTCAACTAGAAGCTATTGGCTGATTGGTTGTCAGGTGGAATGTTCGAAAATAAAAAAAAAACAATAAAAAATCTATTTAAATATTTTGTGGAAGGGCAGACTAAACATTTACCGAGGTTATTCATGCAGTATATTTCGACAATTTGATACGTTCCCTCTATTTTTGTAGTCAGTGTAGGTATCGGTATCGGTATAAGTGTCCGTGTAGATGACTTTTCGAAAATGGCTAGAACTAAGCGTTACCTTGTATCTTTTATTACCTATATACATAAATTAGCATACGTTACCTGATCGGATTTTTTTTTATCATATCGACACCAAGTGGCAAAATGTTCACAGTTGTTGCACAATAAATTGTATGCATTTGGACCTATCATACTGAGTGCTCTTTTAACGATGTCCTTGCCTCTGAATGGCCTAAAATATACCAATTTACAACTTAAATCAATCCAACAGTATGATGACAATACGTCAATAACAATTGTTGTCTATCGATTCATTATATTTTGCTTTAAACAAATAGATAAGGCATAACTAGGGAAGATTTTGAAAATTTTGATTTACGGGAAGTGGCAAAGTAGAGTAGAGTAAAAACAAGAATCATTTGGTTTTTTTTACTTTTTTAAAGCTGAAGTACCGGTATAATGATTCTTCGGCTTTAAAATGAATGATTTTGAATTAAAAAAATGAATATGGAATTCTCAGAATAATACAAAGATTTTTGGGGTAAAAACAAAAAGGGGTTTTGAATTTCAATCTAGTGAGGTAGCTATTTCGATGCTTGGGTAGCAATTTGAATAAAGAGTACATAATTATAATAATAAAAAATCTTCAATTTATACTTTTATTTAAATATGGTGGCTTGTTATGATCTGACCAAAGCTTACACAATGCTCAAACGAGCGCTTTCTTTGGAAGTATATTCAAATTTGGCTATACTAACAGGGTTAATTTTTGTTATTTTCTTCGGTATAACTTCAATTTAGTCAACTTTCTTTGTGATACATATATAAATACATGCAGTCTTCTCGCTCAACCACAGGATCACCAGTTCAGGCTTGTAAAAATGCTGTTGGCCTGTAAACATGATATCTACAGGCCAATAGAATCGCAATAACATTTTCGTAAAATTCATCATCAGGCCTGTAGATTCAAAAGTTTATCGTGAAGACCAACATGTATTCTTCTGCTCATTATTGTGCCATGATATATGCTGAACACTCAAGCAATTTACTTTGCAAAACGTACAAAGGGTGATAAATGTTAATATATACAGCCTCCTCCATCTATAACAGCTGCTTCCCTTGAAACTTAAATAAAGAATGAGATAAAACAAATGTTTGCGTTATTTGGCAAACGTTTGCGTTATTTTGCAGAGATTGCAAACATAAAAAGAAATATAAAAAAAAATATGTGTTGCGCTAATACGCTTCCGTAGAAACCTTTATGTACTTTAGGCAGAGATCATTTTTAAACGTCAAAACCTGTTTGTGAGGTTTTGATTCACATATTTGAATATATATATATATATATATATATATAATGATCTGTACACATGTAGGAATAGCTCCATAATCAAATCGATTTCTCCACATCTACCACTTAGCGTAGACACCCCGAAGTAGGTCTAATATAAAATTTATAGGGAATTTTATTTGACAATTTCAAGTTTTTTCTGGTATCAAATGATCCTGACCGAAAATAAAACTCAACGATTAAAAGAACATGTTTATATTTCTCAGTTTATATCTTTTTATGTAGTGTTTTGTTAATTGGTTTGTCGTTTCGTCATCTTCTGTTTTGTCAGTCCGATTTGTTCAGTTTCTCACAACGTATGAGTTTTGATTGATTGATTGATTGATTGTTGGTTGCTTAACGTCCAGTGGCAAATATTTCATGCATATTCAGGACGAGAACAAATTAACAATAAATACAATAGGTAGGTTCTGTAACAGGGGCTTCCGGGATTAAGGTCAGAGAAATTTAGACTGCCACAGAAAATGAGGGTATATTGGATAGGGACAGAAATTTAGCCTTGCAACAGGTCACTCACGGACCCCTCAAAGAGTTGTTGCAAGGGTTCTTAACGTGCAAAGAGCGTGGCACTCTCTTTACACGAGGCATCGGATTTAACGTCCCCATTCTGACCGGACGTGACTGCGAATTTGTACATCCCGCACAGCCAAACGGACGCCCAACTTTAGCGAGGGTTTTACCGCCGGTCGGAGGAAGACCAATGGTGATCATATTTCTATTCCCCAGTCACCCTTGGGGGCGTATGAGTTTTGAATATATCCCTTTTATTTCTCCAGCCTCATATAAATCATTTCGTTATGTCATGTTCTGTCTTACTTGGCTCGCCTTAAAACTACTTCGCCCCACTTTGTCCCACACCACTCTTTAATAATTGTGCCTTGAGACCAATTAAAATTATATTTTTGTATTACAATTATGTCATATTTCATATGAGTGAACTACCATTAAATATTCTGGGGAGAGGACCGGATGTTTCTTTGTTGTCCTCTTATAATTATTCATTGCATTCAGACACGATGTCATTCCTATTGCTGATAAATAAATGTAACTTGGATGCTTGGTTGTCTCCCTTGCAATATACGGGGATGTAAGTCACCCTTGTTGCCATAGCTAACGAATGCAGGACAGGGAACTAGTCTACGTTCTTTTGTCACTATGGACACTCTACATACGTTCTTTCCTTGTCTTTCTTGTTGTTCTTCTTAGCCTTTTTATTGCCAACAACCTTCCAAAAGTTTTCTAATTTTACGAAAGCAAATTCTGAAGAAACATCATCCTTTCCAGATAAATGAACTACCTTGTCATCTCCTGTTCAAATAAAATTATGTTCTATATATTCATTTATGTATTTCAGACATTTTGGTCAGTAAAAATAAGCAGCTACACCAAGAGCGCATGATACGTCCCTGTATACACAATTAAATAGAATAGTCAAAAACTATGGTATGAGAAGTTATATAAAAAAATAGATGTGTAGCAAAATTTTCATGAGGATTTTAAGCGATGTATGAATATTGCCTTTAAAATGAGACTGTTTGAAATACCCATAACTCTAAAACAATATACTAAAAAAGTTTTAAAATATTTTTACCAAGCCTACATTAACTAATCCCAAGAAGATTGAAAAGAGTGAGGTTATCCAAGTATGTACTGCATGTCTAATTAATCATGTTAATACATGTAAGCTAGTGTGATATTTAAGCAATTGCTTTGAATATGTCTGAGGATCAGGATCAATTAAGTGTAAAAAGGAAAGCCCTAACATTTTTCTGTGCGCTATAATTTGTGCAGATTTATTTAGAAAAAGATCTATGTTGGCCCTTTATGCTGTCTGTAAAAATATTACCTAACATTTAACTTTTGATTACTGTAAACTATTATGTCTAATTTAACCCTACAATTGTTCAGGAACTTTAAAATATTGATTTTTAAAACTTGTTTAGAAATATTGCAGTTAGACTGAGACATGATGGATATTTCAAAAGACGGCAAAGTCACAATACTTTGGAATAACAAATGAAAATTTAAAAAAAAAAATCAAAACTCATCTTACATGTACTTGTCATGACATTGATTCAAGCATTCTCAAGTTACGGTATACAATTTTACATGTTAAAAATTTTCATAATCTGACATTTAAAGTCCAATAACTTTGGACTGATAAACTACAAAAACCATATCCGAAACTTCCGAAAAAGATTTTCATTTTATAAAATCAATTCATTTGGAGTAATATGGAAACACAGTTCAATTTTAATGAATTAAGCTCCATATTAACTCAGGAATGATAATTTTAGCAACAATCATATAAAAGGAAATGATGCACCACTCAGAAACAGTTAAAATAAATCATCAAAGTTGTTAACTAAAGGTAATTAATATAAGTTAGCGTCTTTATGTTGACGCATTGACGAACTACATTTTACCATAATACTTGTACGTCCGGTCTTATATTATCAGTTCTTTACTTTTTCCTAAACCTCAGCAGATTAAGATTATTTATTATTTTTTTGTTTGTTTTTAAACTGTTATGACTATCCTATGAATTAATAATAATATTGGCTTTATTCATTTATTTGTCCATAAGTTTATATGTTCCCTTATGTTTTAAGGTGTATATAGTTGTTACAATAGACCATTTTCATATTATCGATTTTTGACTTCGGAATTTATATTTTTTCGACAGGTTACCTTCTCTGTGGTTGGACATCCTGTTACTCGGTCAAGCAAGAGTAACATAAATAAGTATATTGAAGATTTTAATCGGTACAATTTTAGGGAAGTTTACTGTTTAATGCTTTCTATACATGACTAAATCATCAGAAAGCAGTTAACTTTCCCCCAAAATTGCACCGTTTATATATTTGATTTTACTTCTTTTGGTTGCTCATAATTGACAGAGTACCAGGATGTATTACCACAGAGTAGGTAACCTGTCGAAAAAATATAGAACCCGGAGTCAAAAGTCGGTAATATGAAAAGAGACTATTATACCCAAGGGTAGTGCTCCATAACTAATGGAGGAACATACAAGAAACTGAACTGAACTGAACTTATAAGGGTATGTGAAATTAAGGATAGTCTTACAAACGTTTTACAGACAAAAAAACAAAAAAAACCAATAACAACAACTTGATATCTAACTCGATTTCAAAAAGAGGAAAGTCAATTGCAATTATATATCATCATTTTTTTTTTTTTCTTTATAAATACATTGGCGGTCATCCTTACTGTAATTGCATGAAATACAATTGTATATCTCTCATTTAGCAAAAATAAAAAAACAAAAAACAAACAACAAACAAACACAAAACATATAATAAAATCCTGAATCGTTTAAAGGATAGTGACTAGTTTTCGGACATATACACACTCCTATACAGCGGGCATGTTTGATCACGGCACATTTTGTGTGACTTTTATAGTTGGTTATGAGGTATGGGTTTTGCTCATTGTCGAATACCGCACGATGACCCATAGTTGCTTACTTCTACGTGATTTGGTCTCTAGTGGAAAGTTTTTTTGCAGAGACACCACAGATAATACCAAATTCTTATATTTCCCAAAATTGTAAAACAAATTAACTGTTTTCACAACTGAAGGTATGTGATATGCCAGTCATTCATATTACAATTTACTATGTAAGTAATATCTTGTGTAAATATTGGGACAGGGTATACATAACAATTGTTAGATAAGCAACCCAACTATACAAAAATCAAAGCACTGTAAGCGCTGCAGGCAGTTAACCAAAAACCAAGGCAAACGTAATTATGAAAACTGTGGCAGTGTTGCTTCAAATTTTTTTTTCAGATTTGAAAGAACAAACATTAAACATTCGTATATTGTACATTTATGTTTATTTAATGAATTGATTATTAAGGCAAATTAATTAATATTTTATAAAGCAACGCATATATCAATGTATATTTTAATGGTGAGTCTGCAGTGGTACACGTTCGCAATGATTGCAGGTGTTCTAGTTGGTAGTTAACGTTGGTACCAGTTGACTTTTAGTGGTACAAGTTGACGTAATTGTATGAATGGACTTGCTTCCCTGGAAGGAACACTGTTTTTGGGTTCTACAGTACAAAAGTTATGAGACACAAATCAGACAAATGTTTACTACTACAGGGATCAAAGGTGAGGTCTGACTGCCCTGACCATAGTAAATGTAAATGACCCCCACCTTCACCCCAAGTCCGTGATATCACTCCATACCAAGTTTGGAATAAAATGACAGGTGATTATAAAAGAGGGACGAAAGATACCAGAGGGACAGTCAAACTCATAGATCGAAAACAAACTGACAACGCCATGGCCAAAAATAAAAAGACAAACAGACAAATAATAGTACAGATGACACAACATAGAAAACTGAAGACTAAGCAACACGAACCCCACCAAAAACTGGGGGTGATCTCAGGTTCTCCGGTCAAATAAAACAATTGGTCAAACATTCTTGGGCTTTACACTGCTTGAAAGATTTATATGTTTTCTTCAAAATGAGCCATAAATGAAAATTTTTATAGGCCCAGAAATAATTCAAAAAATAATTAAAGTAAATTCAATTTACCTAGACTCATTTTTTGCATCAATAAAATTTTATAATAAACAAGAAATAATTGTAACAGGATGCTGTTACGAAGTCTCCCAAACAAAGCTCCCATAATTCGTCATTCCAATGGTCGCCTGACATTGGGCAAAGTCCAGTACACATTGGTTTGGTCTAGTAAAGTGATATGCATATGTCACATAATGTGACGCCTAGGAGATTGACCCTGTATATCATTCAAATTATTTTGAAATGACAAACAGGAATAAATATGGTTTAGGAGTGGGGACCGTTTACTAGTTCTCAAACAGGAGGGGGTGGGTTGACCCCAGGGACTCCCCCTATATTTCATTTGATTTGTTATATTGTCCCATACATGAATATATATGGTTTAGGAGTGGGGATTTCAACCGTTTACAAGTTCTCAAACAATAGGGGGTGGGGTGACCCCAGGAACTCCCCCTATATTTCATTTGATTTGTTATATTGTCCCATACATTAATATATATGGTTTAGGGGTGGGGATCTCGACCGTTTCCAAGTTCTCAAACAGGAGGGGGTGGGGCGACCCCAGGGACTCCCCCTATATTTCATTTGATTTGTTATATTGTCCCATATATTAATATATATGGTTTAGAGGTGGGGATCTCGACCGTTTCCAAGTTCTCAAACAGGAGGGGGCGGGGTGACCCCAGGGACTCCCCCTATATTTCATTTAATTTGTTATATTGTCCCATACATGAATATATATGGTTTAGGGGTGGGGATATCGACCGTTTACAAGTTCTGAAACAGAAGGGGGTGGGGTGACGCCAAGGATTCCCCCAAATTTTCATTTGATTTGTTTTATTGTCCCATACAAGTATATATATGGTTTAGGGGTGGGGATCGCGACCGTTTACAAGATAAAAGAACATTTTCAAATTGAAGGGGGGTGGGATGAACCCCAGGGACTCACCCTATATTTTATTTGATTTGTTTCATTGTCCTGTTCTCATTACTGAAGACCACGCGTGTCTATCACTTACTGTTTTCGAGTATAAATAGTCATTTGAAAATAAAATCCCATAGGGTTCTACAGTAAACCCCTCCCTTCTTTAGGCCCCTCAAAATACCCCTAAATAGTTCCCAATGCACAAACGAAAGAGTGATAGCTCCGCTAGACATATTAGTCTTACATTTTATGAAACCCTAAGTTAATCTGACAAGGGGTCCGAGTTGTTTTCTTAGACGGTCCGAGTGGACTCGGTCCGACTTGTCTCTGGGACGAGTTATTCCGCATTTCTTAAAACATCGACCTGATTGGTCGACATTGATTACGTCGATTTCCGGTTTTTCATTCATAAAATAACAACAAGTTCAGTGATAAACGGAATAATTTAATAAAAGAAAGGAATTTAAATGTGCATACATTTAATTGAAATCAATTAAATAATCACAATCTTCTTAAACTAAAAGAATATCATGATTAAGAGTACTTTCGCTTAATCGGACTTTATATCATCAGAATCAAACGAACTTACGTTTCGTGTAAGTTAAAATTACCGCCAACTTAGACTACATGTGACGATGATGTGTACTATATATAACTTTATTCCATCTATCATAGAGATTTGGTGTACATGAATAATATTCCTGCGCATTTTGCCATTTGGGAAATATAAACGACTTGTAATTACAGATTTTCGGCGATGAAATATTTCATACAATTGTTCTTTGCCATCTTAGCCAAAAGCACAGGGGATAATAAACTACGTACGGATTTCTATTGAGCACTATTTCCTATGTGCAACTTCAAATATTATGCGTCGTTCGACGATCATTTAAGGTTATTCTGGTCATATTTTTTGTATTCCAGAATTAAAAGAATGAAAAAAATGTCCAATTAGTTATAAATAACATATTAGCCTGCTAGATTACAACAATGGCACTTTTTTCAGCATTCATTAGGAAGAACACAAATCTAGGGTGCTAGCATAAGGCAGCTTAACTGCCTAAAAACCTTAAGATATTCAGTTGTCACCTAGAGAGAGGATTAAGACATGCAACTCATATGTATTACATTGATTTTTACTGGGTGTAAATAAATTCAACGCAAAATAATTTGTTCTGGTTCCCGGTACCAAATACAAAGAAGGAAAAAAATATTGGTACTTGAAAATTGGTTGTCTTTTATAAATTTCTTTTATTGCTTTAATCTGATAAGTCTGACAGTGTTAATGTTATGCAGATCCAAGGATGTAAGTATCAAACTTAAAAGCAGAAATTATTAATATTCCAAACTCTGTGTCATTTAGGCTCTGGTATATATATTTCAAGATTTGTATAGTTTAATCTAAGTAGACTGATATATGATTCATTCAACATCACAATCATATTTACTGATGAAGGATATCTGTTATCCGAAATATTTATAAATAATTACATTTATAGTTCCTTTTTTTGTTATTGGTGTTGTTGTGTACACTTTTTAGGCGTTTATATAATTTATTTATTGTGTACGTGTATCGTTACTCGTAACGATCCAGCGCCCTCGTGGGAAAAATCGTTGACTATTATTCAGACGTTTTATATATATATATTTATATATATATTAGGTCACAGGTGTCAGATAGCTTTAATGCTGTATTAGGAAATCATAAGTTTTGCATAATTAATAAGGGGAATATTAGATTCTATATATTTAATGCTCAAAGTGACATGTCATAGACAGTAAATATATTGTATTTCGCTGTCTCTTATCAGGTGTAAGTGTTTTATTTTTCATTTAATTTTTTTTTTTTGGGGGGGGGGGGGGGGGGGGGATGTAACAAAATCAGAGACATATACCCTGACAAAATTAAATAAAAGAGGTAAATTCCAAATTTTATTTCAAGAAATATTTTGAAAAAACATGGGACCGGTGTTGTTTAAGAAATTTCAATTCCAAATTTAAAAGTCCAAGTGTTTTAGTAAGTTCAGATAATAATTTAAATAAATCCTAAAAGTATCTGGTCACTGGTGTAAAACGTATGCAACTATAAATAAATCATCAAAATTCCAATGATAGAAAAGTGAAAGTAAACATTTTATATTCAGACTTCTAGAAAATCAAGAGACCGTTTCTATTTAATTTCCTCAAAAAAAAATCAGGTGATTTTTATGCGGAAATATGGACAAGACCTGCTTTTTACGCTACTTATTGTTGTGTTTAGAAACGTGACCTATTTATATAAATAACTCGGGGAAAGCCGATTCCAAATCGAGTCAAGGTCAACAATTCTTTATAAAGATACTTCTCCATTAAAAAGTTCCGTTTTTGACGAATTCACTTAATTTTTCCATAGATTTACTCAAATTAAATATGTATTTGATATGTATAAACGGAAAAAAATACAACAGAACAGTTACTGTAGTATTAGTAATATGCACTTATCGGTGTTTAATCAACAATCGCACGCCAGCTCCAGGAAAAGCATCAACATGTCGGTTTACGAAATATCAGAAATGACAACAAAATAAACAGCTGCGCCATGAGTGCATGATACGCCCGTCGTCTTATGTGTGAATTTTTATGCAATAATCATAAATAGTTTCTGACATACGGCGCGACATGCGAACCCCCCCCCCCCCTCTTTTTTTTAACAAAAAACTCAATATCTCTAAAAGAAAATTATGAATCAAAACCAAAAAATACACAGATCTTTAGATTAATATAACTAGAAAGTGTGTAAAATTTTAAGCAATAATCATAAATCGTTTTTGAGATACGGCGCGACATGTGAAAACCCCCCTTTTTTAAAAAAAAATAAAAATCAATATCTCTAAAATAAAATTTTGAATCAAAACCAAAAAGTATACAAATCTTTTGATTAATATAACTAAGAAGTGTGTAAAATTTAAAGCAATAATCATAAATCGTTTTTGAGATACGGTGCGACATGTGAAAAACCCCTCCCCCTTTAAAAAAAAAATCAATATCTCTAAAATAAAATTTTGAATCAAACCAAAAAGTATACAGATCTTAAGATTAATATAAATATGAAGTGTGTAAAATTTTAAGCAATAATCATATATCGTTTTTGAGATACGGCGCGACATGTGAAAAACCCCTCCCCCTTTAAAAAAAAATCAATATCTCTAAAATAAAATTTTGAATCAAACCAAAAAGTATACAGATCTTTAGATTAATATAACTAAGAAGTGTGTAAAGTTTAAAGCAATAATCATAAATTGTTTTTGAGATACGGCGCGACATGTGAAAAAAACCCACCTGTTTTAGTTACTAAGTCCCGTAACTCAAAAGGTTTTAATCTTATTTTCACCAAAAAGTATACAGATCGTTTGACCATAATTAAAAACAACTATGTAAAGTTTCATGAAATTTGGATAAGTCGTTCTCAAGTTACGGTGCGGCATGTTTACGCCGGACAGACAGACGTACACACGGACAGACGACATTTGTATACCATAATACTTTCCGTCAAAATTTTGACGGGCGTATAAAAGCACGCATTTTAATTGAAATCAATTCGGGCGGGTGACGGTCGCGTCCAATTTCTTTAACATCATAGAGACGCTCAATCCAGTTCAATCCGGTAAAGAAAGTGTTAACTTCATCAAAAACTACCTTAACAAAATCGTTAACTAAAACTTTAACCTGAAGCGGGACGGACGGACGGAAGAACGAACGGACGCACACACCAATTAAACACAATGCCACTAGGTGGGGCATAAAAACAATTGCAATATATGTAACTTACCAGCGTATACTGCCCAATGAGAATATAATATGTTTTCCTTTATCGATATCAAATCACCTTCTTCCAAATTATCCAACACAAATTTATTATGGCGATAGTTCTTCACAAGACACTGTGCCATTTTCTGCATGAAATGAATAGAACGATCGAATAATTGATATATTTATACAAATATTCAACACCATGTAAATATACAATAATATAACACAAAAATATTCAAAAAACAATGATCAAAATTTATATATATTGTCATATATCATCACAATGATTGAAAAAAAATAATCAGCAAGTTACTATTTTATTTTTTTACATGTAATATTACATGTATGTATTATTGTTGAATGCAGTTCCTGCAATTGCATAAAATAAATCATTTGTTAAATATAACGCAGTGTTATCTTACTATGCTTTCATTTTTTTTTTTTGTGTATTTGCTATCTACTTTTAAACGCCAACACTTCTAGCGGTTAGGACATTTTCGTTAATTAAGATAATCATTCGGGAAATGCGGTATGCGGTTTGTTTTTATAATTTAAAAACCAGTAATTACTCGGCTGAAATTCGTCCGCTAATTTGACAGGAAAGGTAAAAGAACATAATATATAAATTTGTAAGACGTGAGTGAAATCTACTCACACTATTATGTTGTTCTTTTATTATTAGGTCTTTCCACTTTTCTGTGGAAAGACCTATTGGTTTTCTTCTGATTATTAGGTCTTTCCACTTTTCTGTGGAAAGACCTATTGGTTTTCTTCTGATTATTATTAGGTCTTTCCACCTTTCTGTGGAAAGACCTATTGGTTTTCTTCTGATTATTATTTTTTTCTTCTTCCGCCACTCTTTTCTGACGGTGCTTTTTTGTTTCGCAAGATGTCGCTTAGATTTTTTGTGTATGATATCGAACAGTTATTGCGATTTTGAAACTGACCCTGTTTAGCCGAATACTTTTTATTGTAAGAGTTATCTCCCCAAACACTGTTGTTCTTGTGTACGCATCTCCTTCGCAACCGTAAAAGATTATGACAATCGATGTCTCCAATTTGTTCGTTATATCCTCAGGATCTTAAGAATAATTTTAACCGAAGCGGTCCAGAAACTCCATATGAGAGTTATTTCCCCTTCTGTATTTAAAATAAGTAAAATGTAATTGTAATTGGTAAACCATAAGTGATAGGGACCTAGGGTCTTCTGATTTGAGGTCCTTGGTCCAAAAAAAAAGAAAATAGGGTCAAGGTCAAAGGTCAAGGTCATTTTTAAATTTGGATTTTGGCTTATTTTCACCTCTTTTCAAACACGATATAAGATATCGACAACATATTTTTACTTAATTGTTAGTTGCGACATGTCGTAACACATACATATCGGTTTAAAGGCTACGCTTACATCAAATTAGAGTTTTCTCCCCTCTTTTATTTAAAAATATGCAGATGGTGATATATTTCATCAGCAAATATAATTAAGATCTAGGGTCTTTTGATTTGAGGTCCTTGGTTGATGACCTTGAAATTGAGCCCAAGGTCATAGATAAAATTGACGTTCTAGATTTTGACCTTTGCTTTTACCTCATTTGTATACATGATAAAGCCATGGGACTTTTTGCATTTAGTTGCAAGCCATATAACCTTGAAAAAGGAACCGGAAGTGACCCTGTGTAAACCGGAAGTAGCTATTTTTTGTACTTTTTAAATGTAAAAGTATATAGAACCATATATTTTTGGAACCAGTGTCGATTAAACAGTTAAATAATACCGGAAGTAACCTTTTTCAAACCGGAAGTAATTAATTATTTCCCTGATTTAAAAAATATTGTATAGAAACCATATATTTTTGGAATCAGCGTACTATAAGCTATCATTTGACCCTGTTAATGACATTTTAAACCGAATTTTTACTATTTTCATATCAAAATACTTGTCTAATACGATTTTGAAACTGACCCTGTTAAGCCGAACACTTTTTATTGTAAGAATTATCTCCCCAAACACTGTTTTTCTTCTGTACAAATCTCCTTCGCAACCGTAAAAGATTATGACAAAATTAGTTCACCAATTTGCTCGTTATGTCCTCAGGATCTTAAGAATAATTTTGACCGAAGCGGTCCGGAGACTCCATATGAGAGTTATTTCCCCTTCTGTATTTAAAATAAGTAAAATGTAATTGTAATTGGTAAACCATAAGTGATAGAGACCTAGGGTCTTTTGATTTGAGGTCCTTGGTCCAAAAAAAAGAAAATAGGGTCAAGGTCAAAGGTCAAGGTCATTTCTAAATATAGATTTTGGCTTATTTTCACCACTTTTCAAACAAGATATAAGATATCGACAACATATTTTTACAGAATTGTTAGTTTCTACACGTCGTAACACGTAAATTTTAGTTGAAAGGGTATGAAGACATTTAATGGGAGTTTTTGCCCCTTTTATATCTTATATTAGCTGTATGGTAATATAACTCATTTACAATATATAGTAGAGACCTAGAGTGTTTTGATTTGAGGCCCTTGATTCATGACCTTGAAATTGGGGTCAAGGTCAAAGGTCAAGGTAATGTACAAAGAGGCAAATTATGTTTTTTTGGCACTATTTAAAGAGTTTGATAGTGTTTTAATGCTTTTGTAGGTTGACATTGACCTTTAACCTTACTACTTGTCAAGTGATCTCTCAAAAGATAAATCCCATGTGTTTAGATATAATATCTAGGCTTTCAATTCCGTTTTTGCAGGATCCAAGTGGATCCGTTCTCTGTGTTAATCAACTAACCAACCAACCAACCAACCAATCAACCAACTAATTAATCAATCAATCAATCAATCAATCAATCAATCAATCAATCAATCAATCAGTCAGTCAATCAGTCAGTCAGTTAATCATTCATTGCATGAATGTTTCTGTCTCATGTGTTTAACCAGACTTAACTTATGGTTGAAACTATCAAGAGTTGGTATAACAGGCAAATTACTGTCTGTTTTAAAATCAATGTATTCTACAGTTAAAGTATGTGTGAAAGTTGATGGTTTTTATTCTGAGCAGTTTACAAGTTCAGTTGGTCTTATGCAAGGGGAAGTTCTTTCTCCTATACTATTTTCGTTATATGTAAATGACTTTGAAATGGAATTTCTACGTAATAGTAATATACCATATGAAGTGCAAGACTTGTCATTGTTTTTACTTATGTATGCTGATGATATGATTTTATTTTCTGATTCAGTTATTGGCTTGCAAGATATGTTAGACACATTATTATCATATACTTGTAAATGGGGTTTGACTGTAAATATTGCCAAAACAAAAATTATGGTATTTAGAAACGGAGGTTTTGTAAAAGACGAAGAAATTTGGTATTATGATGGCAATACTATTGACATAGTGGATGAATTTTGTTACCTTGGTGTACTGTTAAATTTTAACGGTAAATTTGTTAAAGCTCAAAAACATTTAGCTGAGCAAAGTAGAAAAGCTGTTTTTGGTTTAAAGTCGAAGGTTTCGTCATTGTATTTGAATGTTTTTACATATTTGAATTTATTTGATACTTATATTAGCAGTATTTTATGTTATGGTTGTGAAATATGGGGCTTCCATAAAGCTCCAAATATTGAAAAAATACAACTTGATTTTTGCAAAAACATATTAGGTGTCAAACAATGTACAACAAATGTTATGGTTTATTTTGAATTGGGTAGATATCCTTTGATATATTTTAGAATGTACAAAATAGTGAAGTACTGGTTAAAATTGTTATCCACAAGCAACTGTATTCTTAAAAACTGCTACAGGGAACAACTGTATAATTTCTGTAATATTAGAAGCAGTTGGATTTATCAACTACAACAATTATTATTTAACTTAGGTTTAAATGAGATCTGGTATAACCAAGACAATTTGATTATTGATACAAATTTATTATTATTTGTAAAAACAAGGATATATGATCAAGCAAAACAGACTTTGAATGATCAACTGAACGTTTCATCTAAGTGTTATTTATATAAATATATTGTCAATAATGTATGTTTACAGAATTATCTAACCAAACATATGAATTTTAGAGTGTATTTAACTCGCCTTAGATTGTCATCTCATAATTTGTTTGTTGAAGTAGGCCGTTATCATGGAGTAAATAGGTTAGATAGAAAGTGTACGCTTTGTACTTTGAATATCACTGAAGATGAATTCCATTTTGTTTTACAATGTGAATGCTATAGAGACTTAAGGAGACAGTTTATTAAACCTTATTATTATAGACGTCCATCGTCGTTCAAATTAGTGCAGCTTCTCAGCACTGAAAATGTAAAAGATTTGCGTAATTTGTGTAAATTCTTGTTTAATGTATTTAATCATAGGACCAAACTGTTATTGGTCAATACTTGATATTTATTTGCTTCTCTGATGTATTATGTCATGTTGTGTTATAGAAATGTATTTGTATTTATTGAACTGATAAGCATAATGTGCTTAAAGTAATAAAGAATTGAATTGAATTGAATATGGGGTCCAAGATCGCATTTGTTTCTATTTCGCTTGTTTCAAGGGACCATATCCCACGTGTTTAATTAATTAATTAATTGATCAATCAATCAATCAATTAATCAACCAACTAACTAACCAACCAATTAAACAATCAATCAACCAACCAACCAATCAATCAATCATTTCATGCATGCATGTTTCCGTCTCATGTGTTTAATATGGGGTCAAAGATCTCATTTGTTTTTTTTTCGCTTCTTTCAAGAGACCATATCCCACATGTTAAATTCATTAACCAAACAACCAACCAACAAATCAATCAACCAATCAATCAATAAACCAACAAACCAATTAACCAATCAATCATTCATTGTATACATGTTTCCGTCTTATGTGTTTAATACGGGGTCCAAGATCTCCTTTGTTTCTTTTTCGCTTGTTTCAAGAGACCCTATCCCACGTGTTTATTTAATTAATTCATCAATCAATCAATCAATCAATCAATCAACCAACCAACCAACCAATCAATCATTGCATGCCTGCATGTTTCCGTCTCATGTGTTTAATATGGGGTCCAAGATCTTTTCGCTTGTTTCAAGAGACCATATCCCACATGTTAAATTAATCAACCAACCAACCAACCAACAAACAAACAAACCAACCAATCAATCAACCAACCAATCAATCCATAAAGCAACCAACCAACCAATCATTCATTGTATGCATGTTTTCGTCTCATGTGTTTAATACGGTGTCCAAGATTTCCTTTGTTTCTTTTTTTCGCTTGTTTCAAGAGACCCTATCCCACGTGTTTATAATCAACCAACCAACCAATCAACAAATAAATCAACCAACCAATTAATTGATTAATTAATCAATCAATCAATCAATCAATAAACCAACCAACCAACTAATCAATCTACATGTCCAATTGACCTAAAATTTTGCAGTCAGCAGGGTATACATGTATTAAATCTTCATAAAACAACGTGGTGCAGATATCTCTCAAGAATTTTCCTAGAGAAAAGAAATTGCAATGCCGTAAAAATCGCTTGCTAGTTCCGTAAATATCAGTGAAATCCTACAATAAAATGTCCGCTCCTAGATTGAAATACAAATCTGTTTTACAAACTGCTGCTGAAAAATGTACATTGTATGAAAATAATCGATAAACGTGTTTTAAAGTTACATTGGATCAATTAAATCCAAAGCATGCACTGCTCGTGAACTGTGATCGAAACGTCAATTACCTACAATGACAAAAGAAATACATTGTGTGTATTCCGTCGCTATACATGTTGTCTGTCCAACGTCTCCACCTAAAAAGAAATAAAAATGCTAAGTTTTCGCTATTATGAAGCGTCGTCACGTGACGCCACAATCTGGCGAAAGACAAAGACGCGCGCGGGACCTAAAATATAATAAAAACTTTCCAAACTAAATATAGAAACTTAACCAACACAATAGTATGGACTCTTGTCTGAAAATGAGGACTTGGGTCCCTCCCCTCTTTTTATTTAGGGGGGGGGGCTATTAAATCGGTTTCTTTCTATTACTTGTGGTTTTTTTTTTCTTTCTCTCTCCTTGTAATGTGAACAATTGACTGGTTGACGTGAAAACATGCATTGAACAAACAAACAAACAAACAAACAAACAAACAAACAAACAAACAAATCAAACCAACCAACCACCCAACCAACCAACCAACCAACCAACCAATCATGTTTTCAGAGGGGAAAGACCGTTTACAATTGCTTTTTTAAAGCAATTGATTTATATTTTGATTTGAAATTGTTCGAGTTAGACGTAAACATTTTCAGGAAATCCCGAAATGAGTACTTGCAAATGTGTCTGAGAGAGATCTGTTTCTAATGTGCAATATCAGAATTCGAGGTTCGAGCATGTCATATGCCCAGAAGTGATAATTGAATCAGTGATAATTTGTCTCGTTGGCATTTGTCTGATATGCATCGAACACGGTTTCCTCGAATTTAGATGAATTTGAAGTTGAAAACAGTCTATTTACTTTTAGTCACAGTTGGTGATTCATATGTAAATTTCATAATTCATTTTTTTTCAGATTTTCAGTTTAAACAGTTAGAGAGAGATGTTCAAAGGTCTACTAAGTCTTCGTTTGCAGTAGGAACTAAGAAAAAATCAGTTTCAAAATGGAGAGCCTTTTTGCTTTTTTTGTATTTATTTTGACGTTGCTCCTATTCCTGCCACTTTTAAAACTATTAGCTGTTATGCGCAATTTTTAAGTCGATCATTCAAATCGACTGATTTCAATCAGAAATTATATTAATGGTGTAAAAATCATTTTTATTTAGATCTTCCATTTCCCCTTTTAGATAATTTGAATTTAAATTGTTAATGGCGGGAATTTCTAGAATCAAACAACACTGTCCTAGACAAGCTAGGCCTATTACTCCCGATTTGCCGATGTTAACTGAAGCTGCCTAAATCAAACTATATTACTGGTTTATATCTTCTTTATTTGAAAGCCCCCGTACTTCTGATCTGATATATGTCTTATTCTATCATAAACCATTTCATAATACAGTACATCTTAAATCTAGCCTCATTATGTATACATGGTATATGTCTGTCCTAAATCAGGAGCCTGTGATTCAGTGGTTGTAGCTTGTTGCTATATCTCATATTTTTTTTTCTCGTTTATTGTATTGTACGTACATAAATTAGATCAGTCCGAATCGTTTGACATTTGTCATTTCGGGGCCTTTTATATTTTACTCTACGGTATCTAGGTTTTGTTAATTATTGAAGGCCGTACGTTGATCTACATACACATGTAGTTATAACTTCTCGACACGTTGGTCTCTGAGGGAGAGTTGTCTCGATCATTGGCAATCATACCACATCATTATCATCTGACTTTTATATTCCAAGACATCACGATATTTGGATTAAAGATTTTCAGCAATTGCATCTGATCTGATTACACCAAAAATGAGCATTGTATATGACGAAATTTGAAAACGTGGACCTCCGTATTTGCCGATGTTTCTAGATAGAATGAGGCTTGCTTAACTCAACTTAACTTTGAGCTAAGTATTCGAATATAATTTCTTGTTAAACTAATCTTGAACAAAAGACAATAAATAAGACACGCGATTTAGAATCAAGAGGTTATTAAAGAGGTCATCGTCAAAAATTATCAGTAGATCATCTAGATGACATCACATGTCAATATATGAATGCAACGGGGAAAATTTGTAAAATTAAGGAAAAATATGATTTTAAACAGTTTTTACAATTTTGTTTTAATCGAGTAATTTGTTCACACGACAAAAAATTATGGTGGATATACTTGGAAGGCTTTTCATTTTTAAAGCAATCTCACAGATTCTTGTTAGTGTTAAAGTGGCAGGTATGTTGAAAACGTTGACTTCTTTTCTTCAAATTCTTGATTTTTTTTTTACACACACTGACACAGCAGACTACTCAAATCCCCACGATTAACTACGTATAGGCCCTATGACCCGGGCCAGTTAAATGTTCCTGACCTTGGCATCAAAAGTCAAACAAAAGAATTTCTATAGACTATGAAAGACTGGCTTTCGGAAAATCTTGTAGGTCAAAATGCTCTTCGTAAAGTTTAAACTAATGACTGGAAATAACTCTCTCATCTCCACAACGATCTGTATATATATCAAATTTAACGTTTACAAAATGATATTTTGATTTTTTAATGTGGACTTTGACATCGAATATATGTTATTTAGAATACTTTGAAAAAGTTACCTGCTCATGTGCTGAACACTGTTTCTAACAGTAGGACAACCGGAAGCGCCTGAAGAAGGATTTCGGTGCTCAGTGAAACGGTTCACTAGACGACGTTGTCAACACGTAATGGCGGCCAGAACTTGACGTTGATTTTGGGATTCCAGGCTGATAAGTTAAATCATGTCATAACTTGATGCTTTAACATTATATATGCTACACGATAACTTAAAAGATAAATGCTATATTTTTACCTTAAGGTTCATCATAATAAATGGACAAACATGGCTGTGTTTAGACCTCAAAAACTACTCTGAGACTGAGTACAGACTAACCTGTGCAGTTGGAAAAGTTTTAAGGCCTGGCATCCACTAGATATATAAAAGTTAAATGCTTTTTTTGTTTCAGAAAGATAAAATCTTTTTTGGATTTTGATGAGCATTTTTTTTCGTTCCTGCAGAAGGTGTAAAAATAAACTAAGTTGGGATACAACTTTGAGATGCTCCCTCTCAGGTAAAAACTGTATTGTATTGTATTGATTGTCCTTGATTGGCATGGACAATAGACAGACAATAGATATCTACACAACTATAGGTGAGTTAAAGGGTGTAACTGAGTGGACAGTATCAAAAGCAACTCAGGTGTTTGTTTATTTTTACACCTTCTGCAGGAACGAAAAAAAAAATGCCCATCAAAATCATAAAAAGATTTTATCTTTCTGAAACACAAAATACATTTAACTTTTATATATCTAGTGGATGCCAGGCCTTAAAACTTTTCCAACTGCACAGGTGAGTCTGTACTCAGAGTAGTTTTTGAGATGTAAATATACAGCTATTTTTGTCCATTTGTTATGATGAACCTTAAATACTTTACAAATAAAAGTGCGTTCATGAATATTTAGACGGCACAAATGAAGTGATCTGAACTAACGTGTAAAAGATTTGATGCAGGAAATCACATTCATTTCATTTTAATTCATTAACCACTAACATAAAAGAAGATAAAATTCGGATTGAACTCAAGCTATCCGCCTTTGACTCCGGTGATAACCCAATTCACAAGACATCCGTTTTCCAGATAGTTGACATTTTTTACAGACACATGGCACACAGATAAAAGATCATAAAAGCATGTTTTTTAAGTCTTGGAAGATAAACATCAAATACTGACCAAAGTGAGTAAAATTAAAATGCACATGCGGTCAGGTCATACCGACTATTAGTTCTGAACTTCTGGTACCACTGCACTTTCAAATTGTCTTTGTGCAATGATATGATTACGATAATGTCATTTATCAGGTTGGGAACAACACCGCTACTGAGGGGTAACCCCTCTATGTAATGACTATCCCGTTTATGAGGGGCACATTTCAAGTGTTAGCTTTTGTTTGTTTGTAAAACCACTTTTTATTACAAATGAGCACATATCTATATTATTTGAAGAAACTTTTCACAAAAGAACTATAAATCTATCTTATTTTATATGGTCAAAACATGTCCAAGAATTTTGCAATATTCCTGGGCTCATATCTTCTTTATTATTAAAAATAATTGGACCCCTCTTTTAGAAGAATTTTTCCAAATATAATGAATTTTCCCCCTTTCAAGTTCAAAAATCTAAGTCTTTCTTTTTTCTTTTCTACAACAGTAAAATGACCCCTGGTATGATTGACAGTCCCTCATTTAAGTGATGTCCCTCATTTGGGGGGTTGTTCCCAACCTGTTTATTATAATATTAATGAGCAATCAGCTATAATTTGTTCTCATGGTTTTCTGTTGTCCATGTTGTCTGTTTGTTCTGAACTGGCAAAAAATGCTAAAAAACAGCATTAAAAGGGAAAATTAGAAGGAAAGGACCAGATATTTAGGAAATTTGTTCAATTTGTGACATTTTGGTGCATGGTAAATGATTAGTCAAAATAATTATTACGTCTTGAAAGGCTATTAAACTTTTTTCCTTATACGCCTTACATCGCCACTGTAAGGCGTCAATGCAAAAAAGTATAATAGCCTTTCAAGGCGTCATAATAATTGGGAAGGTAAATGATATATGAGTGGGAAATTGTTGGAAATTATGATTTTGAAAATTGGTGGTAAGAAACTTGTTTATTGCCTTTTGGTGTTTTATATAGGATAACAACCAACATTGACAGTCAAACCTCGTCTGACCCACTAAACAAGCCCTATGATATAATATGCTCCAAAAAAAACCTATGATATTATAACATTATTTTCTACCCAGAACTTACATGTTCATTGAAACAACTCGTAACTTAAGGTAAGAAATATATTTCACATTAGCAGTTGACTAAACTTCATACATGTATATACAAAAAATGTTATAAATAGTTTCCAACACTGGCAACATGTAAGTCAAATAAAATGGAATGAGTTACATTTTGTACCTTAATTTATTACCAAGATATTGTCAAAAATGCTACTCATGCTTGATGATATAGTATATTTTCCCTTGTAAGAATTTATATTCATTTCTGATACCAATCTAACAAAGTCTCCAGTGATATTGTTTGCCTCAAATTACAGCCGAAATTCGGCTTTTTCCCCTAGAGAAAATTCCCAATTACTAAAAAAAATGGCTTAAAATTCCTCCCAAAAAGTTTTACATTTTCCCCAAACATTGATGGCATTGGACCATTGGTAGTATTGATTGTAAATATCGTATTCATGTTATTATTTTGATATTAGAAAGCACTTTTGAGATCTGGTTTTCTGATCAGAATTATCATGGTGTTTGTAACACATGTGGTTTTCAATGCATTAAGTACCATCATTGCTTCTGTTTCTTTCCCCTCTTAGAAAAGTATCTTTCAGGTTGAAAATGTCTGACAACCAAAATATACATGAAAAAACAGTGCAAAAAAGACTGCAAAGGTTGGCAAAAAATCGGAAATGTGTTTAGAATAAAATATACAAATTTCCCAATTTCAATAAAAAACATGCATTTTTCCCAATAAAAAACGGAAGTGGTAGTTTTGAAAAAAGACAACAATATCACTGGTCTCCATTCAATAAGTATTCAATGTTTTCAGCTAACATTATTATTTTAAATTTGACAGTGTTCAGCGGAAAGTATTACAATGAGATTTGTATGGCAGAGATCAAACACAATATATCTAGAAGAACATATACTGACACATGGAATATAAAGAAGAAGGTAAGATGGTGAAAAACAGGATATATTTGAAAGGGAAAACATTTCTTATTTTAAACTTATAGACTGATTATGACCTATATAAATTAGATTTCATTACTGTGATAAAAATATGTTAATTTCCATCAGGAAATTGGTATACCTTATTTCCTATTAATTGGTACAAAATATGCTTTACAACCAAAAATAGTATATAAAATTTCAGAAAAATAGTGTTTAAAGTAAACAATGTAAAAAAATATCATGTTCTGCAATTGAGTAAAAAAAGTCATTTCATATAAGGAAGAGGGATGTATAAGTACTCTCCCACACATTGGGCTTACTAAGATTTGTCAACTGTCTAGCAAATAATATTTTACAATTATAATAAAATGAGTACTTGTGGCATGGTTGCCAATGAGATAACTTTGTACCAGAGACCAAAGGACATATGGACGAGTACTGAAAATTGTCTCTTGTCTTCTACAACAGGAATACTGATGTAAGCATTTTTTATCGTAAAATTCTTACTTACAGATTGTGGTTTGAAAGTATATTTCTTTCCTAGTAAAAATTTATATCAATTTCTGGTACCTTTCTAACAAACTTTTGATATGTCTTCATTCATTTTATTTTGAATGTTTTGCAGCTAGAGTTATTATTTCAAATTAGTCCGTGTTCAGCGGCAAGTATTACAATGTGATTTGGATGAGAACAAAAGATGTATATCTTGAGGCACATACTGACCCATAGAAAAAAGAGAATAAGGAAAGACAGTGAAAAACCGGAAATATTTGAAAGGGTAAACATTTCTTTTTTAAATATAATAGACTGATTTATAATGATCTAATTAGATTTCATTACCGTGATAAAAATTTATGTTAATTTCCATCAGGAAATTGGTATATCTTATTTCATATTAATTGGTACAAAATATGCTTTACAACCAAAAATAGTGTATAAAATTTCAGAAAAATAGTGTGTAAAGTAAACAATGTAAAAAAAATATCATGTTCTGCAATTGAGTAAAAAGAGTCATTTCATATAAGGAAGAGGGATGTATAAGTACTCTCCCACACATGGGCTTACTAAGATTTGTCAACTGTCTAACAAATAATATTTTACAATAATAAAATGAGTACTTGTGGCATGGTTGCCAATGAGATAACTTTGTACCAGAGACCAAAGGACATATGGACGAGTACTGAAAATTGTCTCTTGTCTTCTACAACAGGAATACTGATGTAAGCATTTTTTATCGTAAAATTCTTACTTACAGATTGTGGTTTGAAAGTATATTTCTTTCCTAGTAAAAATTTATATCAATTTCTGGTACCTTTCTAACAAACTTTTGATATGTCTTCATTCATTTTATTTTTAATGTTTTGCAGCTAGAGTTATTATTTCAAATTAGTCCGTGTTCAGCGGCAAGTATTACAATGTGATTTGGATGAGAACAAAAGATGTATATTTTGAGGCACATACTGACCCATAGAATAAAGAGAATAAGGAAAGACAGTGAAAAACCGGAAATATTTGAAAGGGTAAACATTTCTTTTTTTAAATATAATAGACTGATTTATAATGATCTAATTAGATTTCATTACCGTGATAAAAATTTATGTTAATTTCCATCAGGAAATTGGTATATCTTATTTCATATTAATTGGTACAAAATATGCTTTACAACCAAAAATAGTGTATAAAATTTCAGAAAAATAGTGTGTAAAGTAAACAATGTAAAAATATATCATGTTCTGCAATTGAGTAAAAAGAGTCATTTCATATAAGGAAGAGGGATGTATAAGTACTCTCCCACACATTGGGCTTACTAAGATTTGTCAACTGTCTAACAAATAATATTTTACAATAATAAAATGAGTACTTGTGGCATGGTTGCCAATGAGATAACTTTGTACCAGAGACCGAAGGACATATGGACGAGTACTGAAAATTGTCTCTTGTCTTCTACAACAGGAATACTGATGTAAGCATTTTTTATCGTAAAATTCTTACTTACAGATTGTGGTTTGAAAGTATATTTCTTTCCTAGTAAAAATTTATATCAATTTCTGGTACCTTTCTAACAAACTTTTGATATGTCTTCATTCATTTTATTTTTAATGTTTTGCAGCTAGAGTTATTATTTCAAATTGGACAGTGTTCAGCGTCAAGTATTACAATGTGATTTGGATGAGAACAAAAGATATATATCTTGAGGCACATACTGACACATGAAATATTCAAGAATTATGTACAGAGAATTATGAAAGATAGTGAAAAGCTGGAAATATTTGATAAGGTTAATATTTTTTATAGAATAGGCAGATTGTGACCTAATTAAGATTTATAAACCTAGATTAAGATTTATATGAAAATAAGATGTGGTATTATTTCCAATAATACAGCTTTTTCCATACTAATTCTTACATATTTAAATAGTGTTAAAGGCTAAACAGATATTTAAAAGATAGGGAAATGCAGTCCAAAATAGTATTATCATTGTATGTTTCACAAATTATGTCTTATTTAATTATCTATGCTGGTAAAATTATAAAATTTTAACTGGTTAGAGTCTTAACAAGTGGTGATTGTGTACTTTTATCAATTTTACTCCCTATTAAAGATATTTCAGAAATAAGATGCATTATTTTTAAGATGTATATCAGGGAAATGTAAAGTAATTAAATATGAGGTTAAAACAATTCACCTATGTCCTTAAAAAATATGTCAGATTTCAGGTAAAGGGGAAATAACTCTTACAATATCAAAACATTTAAAATGAGTACTCTAAGAATATTACATTATTTTAACATGTATATCAGGGATATTTAAATTATTACAATATGACAAATTGACACCATCAAATCATTCAGGGAAGTTGCCAAAGTACAGATTCTATATTTCCTGATTTGACCTCTTAGGTCCGAGTACACAGTTATTTCGTAGTGCATTTCTTTTAGACAATAAATGAAAATTAAATAAATCCCACCTGCGCTTTCTCAATAATATTTTTACAGTGTGTTGTACTACTTTTGGGACAAATTATAGAAAACTTCATCGGCTCTAACTCAAAATATGGACAATTTTATGTTAAGGGGGTCTTGAAATCTTTTGACAGCTTCCGAAGTGCTAATTTTTAACCTTTTTCAGCTGGACCAAATCACTACTTTGCTTTAAAATTCATGACCCAAATTTTTTTACAGTGTCATTTCACCCCCTTACTTGCTATTTGAGGCATAAAACATGGAGAAATAAATTTGGAAGGGGTATAAAAAAAATTGGCAAGTAACACACTGTCCACACTAAGGACTATATTCGTGGACAACGAAAATCAAAGGACGATAACTGTGTACTCGGACCTAATACTTACAATTTCAAAATATTTAATTGAGTAATATAAGAGTATTATATTGTTTTTAACCTCAACAAAATGTTTTTGCATACAGTATGTTTATTTTTTTTATATCGAGAATAAATAATTAGATGTTTATATTTTTTATATTCTCAGCTTAAACAGAATATCTATCCAGCACTTGAAACTATTTTTTTCATCAAATTAGCATGAAGTTTTATACTTTACAGAAGTTTCATTCATTACTGTGCAGTCAAGTACTTGGATTTATTCTGAACATGAATTGAAATTGATCAAGAACCAGATTTCAGATTGTGGTAATGGTAAGTAAATGTGCCCAACTATGTTTTTAATATACACATACATTAAAATGAATATATGTTAAAACTTTCATCAAGCAGTTAACAATTGTTTTCATTCAGAAAAAGAAAAGTGCAAAAAAGAATAAGTTTGGGATTGAAACACATGAAAAGTAAGTAGCATAAATATCATGTAAATTATAATATATTGATTCTCACATTTTGCTCTGTTATTTAGAAATTTAATTCCTTCAAGCACTGACTCAACATAGGACTTGAGAAAATGGTCAACTTAAAACACATAAACTATTTGAAAAAAAAAACTGTCAACATGGGGCACACAAACTATTTGAAAAAAAAATGTCAGCATGAAGCACACAAACTATTTGAAAAAAAACTGTCAACATGAAGCACACAAACTATTTGAAAAAACCTGTCAACATGAAGCACACAAACTAATTGGAAAAAAAACCTGTCAACATGAAGCACATAAACTATATGAGAACACTGTCAACCTGAAGCACATAAGCTATTTGAGAACACTGTCAACCTGAAGCACACAAACTATTTGAGAACACTGTAAACCTGAAGCACATAAACTATTTGAGAACACTGTCAACCTGAAGCACACAAACTGTTTGAGAACACTGTCAACCTGAAGCACACAAACTATTTGAAAAAAAAAACTGTCAACTTGAAGCACATAAACTATTTGAGAACACTCAACATGAAACACATAAACTATTTGAGGAAACTGTCAACATGAAGCACACAAACTATTTGGCAACACTGTCAACCTGAAGCACACAAACTATTTGAAAAAAAAACTGTCAACTTGAAGCACATAAACTATTTGAGAACACTCAACATGAAACACATAAACTATTTGAGAAAACTGTCAACATGAAGCACACAAACTATTTGACAACACTGTCAACCTGAAGCACGCAAACTATTTGAAAAAAAAACCTGTCAACTTGAAGCATATAAACTATTTGAGAAAACTGTCAACATGAAGCACATATAGTATTTTAGAAAACTGTCAACATGAAGCACATATAGTATTTTAGAAAACTGTCAACATGAAGCATAAACTCTACTTGAGAAAACTGTCAACATGAAGCACATAAAAAGCCCACATGAAATTAAATTTGGCCTTGTCACCTTGGCCACTTTACTGAGTAAAGAGTTTCCAGTTGATACCGCGTGGAGGTGTGACTTGGTCAAAATAACCCATTCATCAACCTTTTTTTTTTTTTTTTTTTCTTCATAATGAAAGAAGTTTTTTTTTTTTTTATTAAAAAAGTGGAATTAAAGATTACAGTGTAATTGTAAATATGAGCACACAATACAACATTACTTATTAATACTGACACATACTGTATCTATATTTTTTTTATACGATTCTCACCAACTCTGCTAGTACAACAGATATTGTTATTTATCAGTTAAGTCGGAACTGTTATGTAAATGAAATCATTCTCGCCAAAAATAAAATGGGAATGTTCTGCTTTCAGAATGTGAAAACAGATGAATTAAAGTGTATAGCTACAACCTGCTGAAAGATGTTTTGCTGATACATGTGATATGGGATATTTGGAAATAAAATTGTTTTTGTAAAAATATCATTATTTGAATGGAATTATTTCAAACAAGTGTATTGAAATCTGTGATAACAGTTTGTAAATCTGATTCATCCAGTTCAACTAAATTAATGCCAAGATTCTCAAATTCAAGAAAAATGTCATTAAATGTCATGTTGTCAGAGTCATTGTCTGATTCAGAGTCGTAAAGGTGTTCAACTTGGGTTTTCTCGTTGGGTTGTTGGATATTTGCATCACCTGAAGGTAACATTGTAGGGCCATTTGAATTTAAACAAGACTGTCCACATTTACATCCAGGACCACATGACTTTCTTTGCTTTCTACATCCACACTGATTGCCACTACAATTAGATTTTAAACACCCACACCCAGCTGTCCATAATTTTATATTGTTTGATATTTTTTCTAAATTTTCATCAGAGTCCCAAACAATGCTTAGTACATTTTTTTCAATCTTCCATCCATGGTCATTCAAAATTGGATAATGCACAAAATTTTGATTAGCTTGCTGCGATACAAGTAAAACCCAACAAGATCTTTTCCAGTGTAAGAATAAGGCATCATTTGATGGCAGGAAAAATTCTTCAGATGGAACTCGACAGTACAGTGCATCTCTAATTTTTGAAAGCCAAATAAAGTGATTTTCTAACAGGCTTAATGTTTCTACAAAAACAGATTGAAATGAATAATGAGGAGATTCGATCCTATCCTTTAAGAAGGCAGAGGAACATTTCCTCCAATATTCACACCCAACTAAACGTAAAAAAGCAAGAAATCCTGCATTTTCTGTGTTATCACTATCACTTAATATTCCTAACCACCCCTTTACAATATTATTAGAAGTAATAAAATCTGGATATTTGAAAAACATCTGATAGAAAGAAGTTTTACAATGGTCCCTAAAAAAAGATACATAATCACATCCAGTAACAATATATACAACATCTGAAAAATTGATGGTATATTGTCATGAATGTCGTTTGAAATTCATTGTAAATCTGGATCATTTTTCATGGAATGAATAAGCTTATTCATGTTTAAATATATGACATCCTTCTTAAAAGTAAGTTTAACAAAAACCTGTTTGTCTAAAGTTTGTATAAATGGTAAACCAATGTTGTATGTGTCATTGTCTGCCGAATAAATAAGCACAGTATCACACAGAGTTTTTTCAGCGTGTAACCATACTCGACTGTCCCCCTCTGATATATTTGTTTGAAAATTCTTGATTATTCTTATCTCATTTTGGACAACACATTTTGATATAGACGAATTGTCAAAACCACCACCAACTACAAATGTTTGACTTAATTTGATTGCATTTTGTGAAAGTAATAAAAACTGTTCACTTATTAATAAAACCAGTTGTTTTTTGTTGTTTCTATTTGTCAAAAACTTCACCCAGTCCTAGGGTAGTTTGGAAGATTCGGTAAAAGAAACACCAGATGTATTTTCATTTTTTAAATCACGTCTGTTTCGCTCAATGTCCTTTGGGGAAAGCTGAGGGGACTGATCATCAAAAACTAGATGCACTTCAACTGTATTATTATTATCAAAATAGGGTAATATGTATTTTTTGTAAAGGTAAATAATATAATCAGTAAAAGTTTTATGTGAAGATAACAAGGGTTTGGTATGTAAAATAAACATCCCATCTATAACTACACATTGAGGAGTTTCATTTAGATTATTTGTGAAAGAATCTGGGTATCGTGAACGGAAAATTTTTAAAGTTTTTGATTTGTCACCTTTATATGGTAAGCCATCAGCGTCAACAATGGCTTTCGGTAAAGCAATAAATTGTTGAAGATCTGAAACTGGTATGTTTTGATTTTTTGACCAGGAAATTTGTTTCCTTAGTAACGAATTTTCTAAACGTTGATCTTTTAATTCTTTTTTAACATAAGAAACAGTTTGTGGTTTAAATGAAAATCCAGTAATTTTTTTGGTTTTATTATATCTAAATTTAAAGTCAGTCATACAAGATTTTATGTATGTCATCAAAGGAGTAGTGGCTACATTTTCATATGATAACAGGTCATCTTTTTGTAATTTTGTTAGAATTATTTTATCATTGAAAATATGTGATAAAGTTTTGTGCTCAAATTGCACTAAATGGCTTTGCCTGAGATTCTGTATATACAAAAGTATGTTTTCTTCTTCAAAAGTTGTCCTAGTAACTGCAGTTTTGTGAATGTCTGGCTTATTGAATGAAATTTCTTTTTTTAAGTTTGTTAACACTTTAGCTCTATGTGGAAGATAATGAACCAGTTTTGACAATGCAGCAGAGGAAAAAGTTCTCATTGCACCCTTAACTTCACGATTTATACAACTCTCGTGTGCTTCATCCAACCCCTGACTATGAATGTTTCTGCCAGATATGTTCACAACAAAAGCACCTTCTTCAAACTTTTTTATTATGCCATCTGGAAAATTTTTCAAGTCGGCTATATGATATGGTAAAAGTCGGGCATAATATTTGCTTTCAGTAATTTGGGTAATTTTGGTCACTTCTTTAATACAAAAGTTACGAAGTTCCCAGTTACCAGAACGTATAGCAAGGAAATACGAAATGTAAGTAAAGCAGTGCTTACTTAAAAATGTATTCCAAAATCTCCAGTTTTCATTTTCCTCACAAAGCTGACCCAATAATTCTTTATATTCAAATGAAAAATTTTGGAAAAATTGCATTTCTTTCTGTATTTTCTCTAGAGGGAAAAGTGTATCATCTGATAAAATGTCAGATACTCTTTTAATATGAATAAAATTGTCACTTTGTTCATGATTAAAATGAAAATATTTAATAACAGTTTCTAATTGAAAACGAAAAAGTGATTCCCAGAACTGCAACAAAAATTTATGCGTTTTATCAAAGTTCACAGCCTGTATAACAGAATTTGCAGTTGCACCTTGATGGAAAATTTCAATGAAATCTTTGAGACCAGCATCAAGATACAACTTCATAAGCATCCTCTGATAATTTTTTAGTATGTGCCAGTCCCCTGGAAAAGGGAGGACCCAATCAAGTTCCGATCCATATTCCCCTTTGAGCTTTACTAAGAGGTCATAGGTCTTTCCATCACCAACAACAACTAAATGGTTGATATCCTGACCGACATTTAAATTTTGATGAAGTATCTCTAATGAATGTTTGACAGTATCTTTATTGTCACATTGTTCATCTAACAAGGACAGATACTTTACCTCAGATTTTTCAATTGGAGTATTGTTAGTTTTTTTACTTATAAAATCTTGAATACCAGGGGATTGTGAATGGCTATTTGGACAGGGCAGTTTACAAAAACAATATTCGAAAACAGTAGAAGCAAAGCTTTGGGCAACTGCAATTTCATTTTCTGATTTTTCAAAATCATTTTCATTGAAAGTTTTTTTTAAATTAGATTCCTGTCTGTTATTATTGGAATGTTCTAGAGTAACTTTATTAACAACATTTTCTAAATTAATTATAGACTGATTAAAGAAATGAAGATCTTCTGGTTTTCTTTTTCTGTTTCGAGCAAATTGCTGAATTTCAGAATCTTTCATTACTTCAGCGCAAATGGCTGAAATACTGGACAATTTTTTATGAAAACAATTATACTTTCTGAAATCTGAAACATCAGTTATATTCTTTGACATGAGAAAAATAACACTGTCAAAGTATAACCTATGATTTATTAAAGGACAATATTTTCCATCAACTTCCACAATGTGGAAAGAATGATTGGTTAAAAACATGGGATTTATTTTCTTCTTGAGGTGTAAGTGATTTTGGTTTAAGGGATTGTTTGTGTTCATTTCATAGATATAAATACAGCAACCTGTAGCAAATGATACAGCAGCTAAATCTACTAAATCTGCCTCTCTTCTGATATTAAAAAGATACAATTCATGGTTTATGTGCTCATCTTGAGAATATTTTTAAACTTTAGAAAAGTTTTCATCACTTAAGTAAAAAGGATCTGATAATATTTCTCTCAGAGATTGATCCATTACTGTATTTGTTAGGCAGTTTTCCATAATTTTTTCAATATCAGAAGTGCAAATACCATCATTATCTCTTTCAGATGTAAGTATACCATAATTCATCAAAATGGCAATTGATTTGTAAAGGGAAATAACTTTGGAATCATTATCTTGAAATAAATTGATGGAACAATACTCATCTTTACCATACAAATAAATATTTCCTTTTAAATACTGTTGCTTTTCCTCAGGCAATAATTCTATTGAAGGCTTCGGTATAACCAATTGTATTGAGGTTCCATCAAAACCATGATGTGCATCTGTAGACTTAACAGCAGAATAAGATGATCTTTTATTAATATTATCTACAGATGCTATTTGGAACTGACATTTTGAGGAATTTACTGAATTGGATTTCCTTTCTTCAACAATTTGAGTTTGATATCTCTCATAAGTCTGTTTAGAAACACATATACCAAATTTATTTAAAAGGTTGAAGCAATCAGTAGAAGAATTGGTAAACTTGTCAATGATGTCAGCTATTAACATTTGAAATTTGTTACATTTAGAATCTCTGTTGTAGATTAAACAACAACAAATATTAAAAATTTGAGAAAACTGAACAGAATCATCACTTATTGAATTCTCCCCAAAAGGAAGCTGTAATTCTGTTTCTTGTCCTATTAAGGCACACAAGAAATTCCACAATATTGGGTCAATAGTATTTTCTATGAAGTTGTGGAATTTAAAATTTGACAAGTTTCTATTTGAACTATTTGTAATATTTTTACAAGATGTTTGTATTTTTAATTTGATAATTTCTGCAGCATTTTTCAAAACATTTGCATCATGAATTTGTACTTTTTCTTCAAGTGTATTTTCATCATGTGAAGTACATGTTTTAAATTTCTTCAATTCAGCTAATGAATCAATAAGACAGGAAACAATATTAAGTCCTTTCATTAGTATTATAGTACCTTGTCGGTCATATTTACAGTTGATGGAATCACCGAATAATGTGTTTAATTTGTTACATAATAAACGGTTTTGATTTCTCAACTGATCTGAGACAAAATTCCCCCCAAAATCTTTATAACACTGCACAATGTCTGAAATAAGAAGTGCTTTTCTCTCCAGAAGATCATTGCAAATTTTAATAAGTTTTTCAAAACATTTAGTACT